AGCCCATAAACAATGAATGCTAAATGAGTTTAGTGAAAAGGAAATGTAGTGTTTTTAAAATAAAGCTCAAACTAGTCCCTAGTGTAATTCTGTTGCCGTCAATGGAGTTACACACCAGCGATGAATTAGGCCTGTGCTCTTAATTTTTTAATTTTGCAACTTTACAGTAAATAACAGGAAGGGGAATAGAGAGAGACATGAAACTGTGAAAACTCAGATGTAAAAAAAAAGTGCTCTGTGTAAGCCTTAGGGACCAGTGAAATGCACCAGGTCTTGAGGAGGGGACTGCCTGATGTGTTCTTCATGGGAATAAAAGTCTTCAAGTTATTTAAAATATTTGTACTAGCTTGTTGCCTGGCTTGTTCGCTTTTTCTTGATGAATGGAGTGGGTTTGCAGTACAGTCAGTTACTGTCTTTGCAGACTTTGTTGCTGTATAGCAACAATCAAAGCAGCAGGATCCCACCCACCCCAAGGGCACTTTCTTCCCTCCCCCACTGTGTTTAGACCAGATTTGTATATTGTCTTATTCCCTGTTACATTTCCAAATAGTTCATTGTATCAGCAGACCTGCTGTGGGGTTGTTGCACTGAATTTCAGTATAATGCTCACAGGACCATAACTCAATCAGATTCAGACCACCACAGTGATGCTGATAGCCTTTAAGTCTTTAGGGGCAGGAGTATAAAAACAGCCAAGGCTTAAGCTTGCCTAAGCCTATTTTTTTTTCTTCTCCTGTTTTGAGCAGTTGTTGGCTGACACTTGTTACTCGTTTTCTGCTAGAAAATCCCACGGAATTTTCCAATTTAAGAAGTGCTACTTTTAACAAACTCCTTTTTAATCCCTTGCTCTATACAGTGTAAACCCTTGCAGCCTCTTCGCAGGGTGAATTGTTGCGTTGTAGTTTTTAAATTTGGATTAGAAACTCTTTAGGGTGAGGGATGAAGAGCACTAGGCCAGACTCTGATCTCAGTTGTAATATTGTAAAGCAAAAAGTACTTCTAAGTGTGCTAGAATTGCTCCTAATGAACACTGGTAACTGAGATAGAATCTGGTCCCTAGTCTTTCATTTGAGTGGGACACTGTAGAGACCAGTTAGAGCCAAACTAGTTTAGAATTGCGGTAACAATAAAACAGAGCTCTGAATGGGAGTGTTACCAACAGATCTAGTGCTAAATGAGCTATATCTTGGAGCTTGATGTCAGCACTCATTCACAACCTAGAAAATTGCCTTTTGGGGAGTATCAAGTATCAGAGGGTAGCCTTGTTAGTCTGTATCTACAAAAACAACAAGGAGTCTGGTGGCACCTTAAAGACTAACAGATTTATTTGGGCATAAGCTTTGGTGGGTAAAAACCTTCAGATGTATCTGAAGAAGTGAGGTTTTTCTCACGAAAGCTTATGCCCAAATAAATCTGTTAGTCTTTAAGGTGCCACCAGACTCCTTGTTCTTTTGGTGAGGACTCTTTGCTCTCTTTAAATCTTCCTGTCTGATTCTTTTTGCTTGCTACTGTTAGTTCTGTAATATAGTGCTTGCTATTGCATGTGTGTCACCTAGAGAGAAATTTTTCAAGGAAAGGTTTTATAATCAGAAAATGCTGATTCATCAAGAAAGTTTTTCAGGTCCACATTGGGAAGGAGGCCATAGCCAATAGCTCCTTCCTGTCTTGGACCTCAGAATCCTTCCCAATGAATAAGCATTTTCTGATTAAAAACCTTTCCTAGAAAAATTACTCCATCTGTAGTTGGGAGACCCAGATTTGAGTGCATGTTCTATCTGATTCAGAGGTGTCTTTTGTTTGTGGTTTCTCTTGTGGAAAAACTTTGAAAGGTCTCCATCTTGTTCCAGTATGGAATGAAAACAAATTCTGAAACCATCATTTTTCATGAAATAGAATTCTTGTTTTCTGCCCATCGCTAGTGCCTGCAATCTACTGGATGGAGTCTGACATCTTTGAGTGTCTTCATGTTGTCCTTCAGTGGCTCTAACCCAGTGTTCCCTCTAATTTTTCCCATACATGTGCGGAATGAATTTTATGTGCACCAATATGGAGGTAATGTGTGACACATCACTTCCATATTGGTGCACATAATAAGATTCCTGTGGCGGGGGTGGGTCCAAGGGGTTTGGAGTGTGGGAGGGGGCTCCGGGCTGGGGGTGCGGCTCTTGGGTGAGGCTGGGGATGAGGAGTTTGGGGTGCAGGAGGGTGATCCGCTGGGAGAGAGGACTCCCACTAGCTCTCCCCGCAGCAGCACCTTGGCTGGGGGGGGGGGGAGGAGGTGCCTCTCCCTGCTGCAGCAGCTCTGGGGTTGGGGCCCACCTCTTCCCTGGCTGTGGCAGGTCTGGGGTTGGGGGAGAGGGAGCAGAAGTGGTGCCCCTCCCCCGGCTGTGGCAGGTCCCGGCCAGGTGGCTTCCCTGAGCGCCTGTGTGGCCGCGCAGCTTACAGGGAACTTAGGCTGTAACCTTTATTGTCAAGTTATGCCCAGTCAGGTATATGTTTGGTTGTGGGACCAAAACAGCCTTGGTTATTCCCTGCTATCAACTGCTGAGGCTATATGGCTACACAATTATTCAGCATGAGCAAGGTTATTGGTCCTGTAACTAATTATCTGAGAGGTTTATTACTGTTGATAGCTTCAAAATCCTTACCTTTTTAAAAACATGTTGAGATCCTCTAAAAGATGCTATTAAGTGAAGAGTTTTATTATTTAACTTGCATGCTTCATATATTGTCAAATCTCAATACAAGAGGTTGAAAGTTCAGTTTGAAAGTGAACTGCCTTATCAGAATAAAATATGTAAACAGAAATGTAATCAGTCAAAGAAAAATAATCCCTGCTGGTTAATGTTTAATAATAAGCCACTGTAACATCACTGGAGCTGCTTGTGGCAATGCCTAACCTTGCACTGGGTGTTTAGGTTGTGGAGAAGTTAATGTCTGAGATAAAGGTGGAGCTATGTTCTGAGTGGGGAGTACATATATCAGTTAAAATCTTACGGGGAGTTAGAATTAATTGGGAGGAAGGAGAGAGACCCATTATGCCAAGAGTGTCAGCTGGTTTGGGCCCATATTTGTTAAACTGGCACCACAGAACTCTTGTTTTTAGTACACAAGTACCCTCCCATCTCCAAGCACAACCATATTAGTTGTCCTTGTGTGTCTGTACATGTTGCCTGGCTGTTTTGTATCAGTGCATTATGGGATACTATCCCAGGGTGCTCAGCAGGGGCTACAGTCCTTGGAGGACATACATATGGAACATATGCTAGCAGTATGTGGGGCAGTGCATTCTGGGATATCCTGATTTGCAGAGCTGAGATGTAGGGCTGGCTGGCTTGGTTACCTTAATACCATTGGGGTCCTGACTTAACCAGCAAATTAAACGTTATGGCCTGAAAGAATGAAGGAAGGAAGCCAGCCTATACCCCTAGCAAAGGTAGTGCGTGGTTATCGCCATAGCTCTTGGATTCCCACTCAGCTTTTAGGAGGGAGCACTGATTTAAGTGCTGCACAAGCTGAGGAGACAGTTACAGTGCAGGTGGCATTTATCGATTCCAAGGTCCAGAAAGGTCTGCTCTGATCATCTCAGCCTGACCTCCTACATCAGTGGTTTCAACCTTTTTCTGGTGACCCAGATGAAGAAAATTGTTGATGTCCGTGACCCAACGGAGCTGGGGATGAGGGGTTTGGGAGTGGGAGGGGCTCAGGGCTGGGGCAGAGGGTTGGAGTGTGGGGCTGAGGGCTGTGGGGTGGTGCCAGGAATGAGGGGTTCAGGGTGTGGGAGGGGGCTCATGACTGGGACAGGAGGTTGGGATGCAAGAGGGGGTCAGGGCTCTGGGGTGGGGTCAGGGATGAGGGGTTTGGGGTTCAGGAGGTGGCTCTGAGTATGGGGGGAGGGGCTCAAGACTGGGGCAGGCGGTTGGGGCACGGGCTTACCTCGGGCGGCTCCCAGTCAGCGACACAGCAGGGGTGATAAGGCAGGCTTCCTGCCTCTCCTAGCACCGTGGACAGGAGGCGCCCAAGCGGCTCCACCCCCCCAGTTCCTGGCCAATGGGAGTGTGGAGCCGGTGCTCGGGCGGGGGCAGTGCATGGAGCCCCGTGACCCCCTTGCCTAGGAGCCAGACCTGCTGATGGCCACTTCCGGGGCGCAGCACAGTGTCAGAACAGGTAGGGACTAGCCTGCCTTAGCCAGGCAGCACCGCCAAAAGAACTTTTAACAGCCCAGTTGGTGGTTCGACCTAGTGCCTTACATTCATTCCATGACCCGGTACTGGGTGGCAACCTGCAGTTTGAAGATCACTGTCCTATATAACATAGGCCAGACCTTGTTGTTAAACCATGTTGATGGCTTGGGCACAATTGGCATTTAGACCCAACAATGTTGCTAGCTGCTTATGAATGTGATTGGTGGTTTTATTGTGTAGATTTGGCTTAAGCCTCTGCCTCTACCATTGAAACTTCACTAGCAACCTCTGTGTCCGAACATGTTTGCAATTTCCTTGACGAGTGTGAACGGGAGAATTTTTCTTTCCTGAGAACTGTGCTATCAAAAGCAGTATTGTAACCTACCTTCCCAAATAGACTTCCTCCAGGGTGACTTTTTAAAGCTTCGCTACAACTGGAACCCTACTGCTTCACTCTTTTGCAGCATGCTTGTGAGCTGAGTATTCTAGAACTTTTTCGTCAATAATAATATAGCCCTGACGTGCCAGAGTGAATGAAGAGATCTAGGAGAAGGGTGGGTTAGTGTTGAATTGTTAGCTTATACTATCATAAAAGCCAGATCTAATCAAGTTACTTTGTACATTTATAAATGCTAAAGTCTTGTCTTCCCTATCTGTAGGAAAAGCAGATATTTCTGCAGTCCATGCAGTCAAGGCTGATTTCAAAAGAGCTACCTCTCAGTATCCTCTGAATGTATCAAATGGCTTAAGCATACACAGATGGCATATTTGTGCTCATTCACCACTGACTTGTTTGTTTTTCCTCTTGTTTTAAAGGACTAGCTGTTGGTCTTGGCATTGGGGCCTTGGCAGAAGTTGCAAAGAAGAGCCTTAGACATGAAGAACGCAATGGTGAGCTTTCTGGTGTGCTTGTTTTGAACAGAAAACCTAGTTGCTTTCTCTTAGGCATTCTCTACTGTGTAGAAGAATAAAATCCTGAGAGGTCTCCAAAGGTTGTGATTGTGATGCAGTATGTTAGGAGTGGAGTGGTTTTTTCCCCCCAGTTTCTTTTGGTTGAGTTAATTTCTTTTTAACCTCATAAATACAGGTTGTACTGCTTTACCAACTTACCTTGTACATACACAGCTCTATGGGTGCAAAGGTGCTTCAACCGATATAGCTTATTCCATAAGGAAAGGGGAGTAAGCTCTACTGGTCTAACTATTCAGGTTTAAAAAACAAACAAACAGAAAACCCCACACCCCTGACTGAAATACTTATACTAGTACAAAAACTGAGAGTAGACCAGGCCTTAATGTCTGAAACCTTGTGGTGTTAGTGATTGAAGTAATAAAGACTTGCTTGACCTTCAGCAATATTCTACCTATTTGATACTCAGGTGATGACTGCTGTAAAAAACCCATGGGAAAATAACTTATTCAGACACTAAATTGGCATTTCACTTTTTTCAGTATCTTTCTCTTGACTATTCTGTAGACATGCACAAAGAAAAGGCTATGTGCCATACAAGCAGGTTTATACCAGACTTTGCATTTCCTCCTGTCTTCCTTGTCTCATCCCCCAATTTAAGAAAAGGGATGCTGTTTCTGGGTACGTCTCCTTTGCCCACTGGCGTTGGTCTGAATTAACTTTACTGCTTTTCTGCACCTATATTCTAGTTGGGAGAGTTCCAGCCCCACATAATGGTAGGGAACAGTTAGTGCAATCCATTGTACTGAGGCGTGGAAGATAGATATGAACATGATCTTTTTTCCTACTCTGGAAGAAAGCAGCTTACTCAGGGTTTGTGGCTGGGTAGATGTTCTTGTTCTGTTTTCTATCCACAAAAGCTTGGATCAGATGCAGCATCACTTTCCATGAAGTTCCTGCCTGCCACCCAATATCCCTGCTGTTATATTTGACTTGACGCAACGGGGGTCTTGGTACCACGCAAGTTAACAGAGAGTTCATGGTGTAGCCAGTGTTGGAGCTGAGCATCTTTCTGACTCTTGCCCTTTAGTTCTGACCACCATCCTTGAAATCCTGGCTTTTGTAACTGGAGGCTCAGTATTCCTAAAAGGAAATGGGAGTCTGCTTAGATATAGGATGCTGACTAGGTTGTGGCAGGCACCTCTGTCTCTGGGCCACCCCCCATAGATCTGTGTTCATCAGGACCTCCTGCGTAGGGTAGCACGCAACATAAACCTGCAGGCCAAGGAGGTGGTGGAATCAGAGGACCTGGTGGTGGACATTTTGGCCCCAGAAGATCCGTCGAGTGTGGCCCTACCCCTCATCAAGACCATCCAGACGAATGCCAAAATCACCTGGCAGACCCCGGCCTCCATTCCCCCTATGGCCGAGGGGGTCGAACATAAATACTTTGTTCCCTCGCAGGGATATGACTATTTGTTTATGCACCTGCCGCCATGCTCGCTGGTGGTTGCCGCTGTGAATGAGAAGGAGAGGCACGGGCACCCGGCCCCAACCCCCAAGTTGAAGGACGCCAAGCAGCTGGACTTGTTTGCCCGCAATGTGCACTTAACGAGTGGACTCCAGCTCCGGATTGCCAATCAGCAGGCACTCCTGAGCCACTACAACTTAACTCCTGGAACTCCATGCTGAAGTTCAAGGAGCTTGTGCTTCCTGAGTCCAGGGAGGAGTTTGAGGCCCTTGTTGACGAGGGCAAGATGGTGGCACGGACCTCTTTACAGGCCTCACTGGACGCTGCAGACTCAACTGCGTGTACCTTGTCCTCGGGGATTGCCATGAGGCGCACCTCCTAGCTGCAAGCCTCTGGTCTGCCCCCGAAGGTTCAGCAGACGCTGCAGGACCTGCCCTTTGACGGGGAGGGCCTGTTCGTGGCGCAAACTGACTCTAGGCTGTATAGCCTTAAGGACTTGAGGGTGACCATGAAGTCCCTGGGTATGCACAGCCCAGTGGAAGCACTTCAAGCCCCAACAACCACATTAGCACTCCTACCCTCCTCAGCCGCAGCAGGACTTTTACAGGTGGGCGGGGGCGGAATGGCAGGAGGAAGCCCTCCAACCTCCCGTCTGGGCAAGGCCAGGGCCTGACCAAGCCATAGTCGGGATCCAAACAGGCCTTTTGAAGGGACGCCCGAGGACAGTGTACCAGACTTATCCCTGGATCCTTCCCCGCCCTTTTTGAATCGTTTATCCCACTTTCACCGTGCATGGTCCCAAATAACTTTGGACTGCTGGATTCTTCGCACGGTGGAAGTGGGATACTCTTTCCAATTCTGTTGTTTCCCGCCCTCCTACTCCCCTTCCCCATCCCTCTTCAGGGACCGTCTCACGAGCAATTCAGGAGGTTCAGGCGCTCCACGCCATGGGAGTGGTAGAGGAAGTCCCATTGGAACTAAGGGGCAAGCGGTTTTACTCTCTATATTTCTTAAGGCCAAAGGGGGCCTCTGGCCCATTCTGGACCTGCACAGGCTTAACAAGTTCATGGTAAAGTTGAAGTTCTGCATGGTCTCCCTGGGCACCATTATACCTTCCCTGGATCCTGGCGACACCCTCGACATAGAATCATAGAATATCAGGGTTGGAAGGGACCTCAGGAGGTCATCTAGTCCCATCCCCTGCTCAAAGCAGGACCAATTCCCGACTAAATCATCCCATGAAGGATGCGTACTTCCACGTAGTGATTCGTCTGGCACACAGGCGCTTCCTGCACTTTGTGGTCAACCATGAACATTACCAGTTTACAGCCCTTCCATTCAGCCTTTCCACAGCCCCCCAAGTGTTCACCAAGTGTATGTCGGTTGTTGCTGCCTTCCTCCATCGACGGTGGGTGCAGGTGTATCCCTACCTCGACTGGTTGCTTCGCCACTTGACTTCATGTACGTACATGACCCGGCACACCAGGCTCCGGCTCCAGCCACTACAAGCATGGCACGCCTCGGTCTACCGCTCAGGATGCAACAGCCTAAATTTGGTGGTCATTGTCCCGGAGCAGGTCCTCGCCTCCCTCCGCGGGTGGCTCGACCCTGGAATGGTGTGCGAGCGAGGCCCCTTCCACAGCCCCCAGCCTTCCTTGTCCCTGGTCAAAGATGCGTCAGCTATGGGGTGGGGCACACCTCTGGGGAACCTTCAGACTCTGGGCCTGTGGTCTCAGTCCGAGCTATCCCTCCATATCAACGTCAGGGAGCTGATGGCAGTGTGCCTTGCTTGCCAAGCCTTCCAGGTGCAACTGTGCAGTCGTTGTGTGGCAGTTCTCACAGACAACACCACAGCCATGTTCTACATCAACAAACAAGGGGGGGGGGGCGTTCCTCCCCTTTCTGCCAGGAAGCCATTCGGATGTGGGAATTCTGCATAGCCCGCTCCATTCATCTGGTTGCGTCCTTTCTTTCTGGGCTCCAGAACGCACTGGCGGACCACCTCAGCAGGTCCTTCCACTCGCACGAGTGGTCTCTCTGGAGGCTGCTATTGCTGGCAGATAATTTGATCTGGGGCGGGGACAGGAAGAGTGATGCAATAAGAAATTGAGAGCAAATGAGTAGATGGGGACTAAGCTGTAAAGGTTCTTGAAGATGGCAAACAAGAAGCTTGTATTTATGTGGTGCAGAGGGAGCCAGTGCAGAGATTGAAAGAAGCAATAACCTGGTCTGAACAGGCCAGGATGAGGTTAGCAGTAATATTTTTGAACTGAGTGGGGCAAAGTGAGTGTGAGGAAGTCAGAGATAAGGTTTCAGTAAAAATTGGAAATGAGGACCAGGGTCCATGCTAGTGTTGTGGGCAGTGAAGAGGCCAGATATTTAAAGGTGTACCAGAGGAAGAGGATGAGATTTAGAAATGGCCTAGATGTGCACATCTGGAGAGAGGATGGTATCAAAGATTATTAGACTCAGAACTCAGTGCCTCCCCACTGCCCTTCTGAAGGCTTGTTTATATGGATCCTCCATATGTCCTAAACGAGCATCCTGTAGTATGACACTGTCTCATGGAGTTGAATCTCTTCATCCCCAACCTCAGCACTGTCTGCCTCTTAAAGTGATAGAATTGGAAAGTAAACATCTGATCACATGGGGAGGGAGGTGAGGGTGAAGAGGGGAAGGCTTCCACAACCAGGTTTGATTTGTTTGTTCTTGTGCAGCACTGGCAGTTTCAATAAGGCAGACTTCTTATCAAGGGCAGTTGGCTACTGGCTGTCACGTGGAAACCACCCACATCCTAGCTGGATTCTGCATGGCTCTAGAAGGAATTATTTTGTACAGGGGATCTACAAACTAATACAGCAGCCTGATGGCCTCTAAGCAGTTAAACAAATTCATATTCCTTATCTGATTTTTGTGGCATGTTTAAGGAGTTTAAAGCAGGTCAGAGATCCATGGTAACAAAACTTTCTTTGGACTTCTCTCCCAGTTCTTCCATTTTAATATTAAAAACATAAGAGAAATGCCATGTTCTTGTTTTGCCATAAATAGCTCTTCTGTTTGCCTTACCTTGGTGTCTGGCTAACCATCTGTCACTGAGGTGAAGGTTACAGAGTAAGTTAGATAAGGGAAATGCTTCTAACCATTGCAGGCTTTGTGCAGTGGGTCAACCCTGGGGTCATATCGTAAGCTCGCTCCCACAATATCTGATCCTTACCTGACCCAAAGGTGAATCAGATACAGAGACTGTCAGAAAGGAGAGGTGGTGGGGGGAGATGAGGACAGAGTTTCCAGGCCCTTTTATTCTGGGTCCATTGTTTAACTTCCCTTGCTCAATCTAATTGAGGTGCTTTGAAACTCCCCATGAGGATGGCCAGGATTGTCACTGTATGGGGATAAATACCAATTCTACCATGTGCCTTGTTAGGGGACCTCTGATATTCTTCTATTCTAGTCTCTCCCTTTCTAAGCTTAATGAGACAACATGGAACTCCACTCTATTGCCTCCAAAGTT